ACCACGGGCCAGTACGGGGGGGGGGAGGGGCGCGGAGAATCCAGGGGGCACCACGTCACACTCCACCACGGGCCGGTACCGGGGAAGGGGGGGATATTAGGGAACCCGGGGGGTCGGTACCTTTCACCACGTCGCACTCCACCACGGGCCCGTACTGCTGGAAGAGCGCCCGCAGCTCTCCACTGGTGCAGGCCGCCGAAACATTACCCACGAAGATCTTGCAGGTGTTGGTGGGCCGCGGGCGGGACGGCTCCACCACGATGCGGCGGCCGTGCAGCTGGTGCCCGTTGAGCTGGGCGATGGCGCGGACAGCGGCCGCTTCATCCCGCAGGTGCACGAAGGCGAACTGCTTCATGAGGGCCACGCCGAGCACCGGCCCCACCGCGCCCGTGAACAGCTCGCCCAGCTCCTCGGCCGTGGCCTCCTCGGGCACGTTCCCCACGAACAGCTTCACTCCGGGACGCATGGCCGCGGCCGAGCTGGCACCGGGACGCCTGACAAAATGGCGGCAGCACCTCAGACCCTCCGAACGCTCAGATGGGAAGGAAAGAGGAAGGCACCACCCGGCCGTCAACACGCCTGCGCAGCGCGCTGAATGCCACCACCTACGAGCAACTGCGCCTGCGAAGAGAGACACTCGGCTAATGCCGCGCCTGCGTACTACTAGTGCCTTGCGCACTCCTGCCTCTCCATCCGCGCCCCTGCTCTTCTCCTAGCAACGTCGTTGCGCCTGCGCACTTGAGTCCCAACCGCCTGTAACCTGTTTTACATCCGTCACAATCCGCGCCGCCAGCCCTAGCGCGCCTGCGTATTTCCGGCATCTCCCTCCCTTCCCTTGCGCAGTGACGAATGCACCTATCCGAGCCTCTGGGCACATGCGCAACGCCCGACCTTGCGTTAACTCGCCAGTAAACAAAATGGTGCTCCCGCCACCCACGTGCAGAGTGCTCCCTTTCGCCCTCAGGCTCCGGCACGGTGATAGGCAGGCTCCGCCCACACCCAGTGACCGCCTCATGTTCTTTTTCTGTCACGGGAACTACTCCCTCGCCCCAGCTGGGTGAGTGAGATCTCTCCACTCTCCTGCTGGGGGATTAGGGATTCCCCCTTTCCCAAATCCCCCACCTCCAAGGCACCTGCCACCCAGCCCCAGAACCTATCCCAGAGACGATGTGCCTCTGCATTTATACAGCATCTTGCACAGTAGGTGCCTGAGGTCTGGGCACCACCACAATGCAAGCTGACCACCTTGGGCAGCAAGACAGCAGGGTGACAGTAGGAAAATATTATTTAATGGCAGATTCAGCGCACATGAAAGATACTTAAAGTCATCTCCGCCTCCACAGCTGATTTTAAATGGAAAACAGGCTACAGCCTAACCCAGACCCTCCTGTCTGGCTGCCTATGCTCAGGCTGCAGCTTTCTAGAAACATTTGTCAGGCATAGGTAGCTCAGCACTTTCTCCTCTTTTGCAGTGCATGCAATCCACAGCACTTGCGACCTTGGCTACTGCCAGACAGATTTCCCAAAACAGTCTGGGGCAAGCAGAGCAGCAAGAGACTTCGATCCTGAGCTCAAAGAAACCTTTGCAGGTTTCCTGTAGATACTTATGTAACTCCAGCGACTAATGCCCTCTGTGGACAATGTCCTATCTGTTTATCTGGCTTAGCAGAAAGAGCACTAGTTTGGGAAACCTGGGTTCTAAACCCAGCTCTGCCACTGGCCTGCTAGGTGACCTTGGGCAAATCACTTCCCCCCCCCCGTGCTTCAGTTTCCTCATATGTAAAATGCAGATGATACTAAACCCCTTTGTAAAGTGCTTGGTGATATGCTGGTTCAGAGTGGCAGATATGAACTAGTGATTATTAATATTTTATTATTAAAGGTTCAACCCCCCCCCCCAACCCAACCCATCTACTTAGTGCAAAAGTGATCACAAGAGAACTCCCAAGCTTCCTGCCTCCCCCTTTTCTAGTTCCCCCAGCAAAACCACCCTTGATATCCCGGCACTTTAAAAAGGAACAAATAAGCAAGGGGGGGGGGTAGAGAGAGAATTAAGATGCTTTTTTCACTGCCTTTACAAATCCCAAAGCAGCAAAAAACTGCAGAGTCTATTTACCGCTCCCCTATAAAATGAGACATCGTCTCTAGCAAGTTTAGGAGCTCCCAGCGGGGGAAGGGTCAGGACACGAAACTGCTCAGAGGTTGGCAATAGAAAAACGAGACTGTGGGATGAGACGGGGACGCTGTGAAGAAGTCCAGTCCCCACCTAAAGCTCACGTCAGATCTAACTATACCACAGGCCCAAAGTGCCACCCCTTTGATGTTAAAAACAGACTGAGCCTCGGCATAGAGCAACAACCAGTAGGCATAATGTGGAGAAAGGAAAGTCATAATCCTACAGGTGAGGGGTGGGCTGGCCAAGCTTCCTCCTGGCTGGCCCTGCCACTGGCTTCTCCCGCTCCTCCCACAGCGTCACGCCATCACAGGTGCAGATTTGCTTGGGGTTCTCGAACAGCCCAGCAGATCGGGCAATGATCCCACAGGCCAGCCTGGAAGGGAGGGAGGGAGCATTAGCAGATGCTGTGCTGCCAGGGGCTCCAGTCCCTGCAGACTAAATGGGCAGCCCCATGACTTGACCATTTGCCCAGTCAAAGGTCAGGCAAGACCAGACATCTTACTTGTTACAGTGCAAGAGGCAAGCTGTACCAAGACAATAAAGAGGCGTTAACCCCTCCTTTGACCATACCTGCAGATCGACTCTTGCCTCATGCCCCTTTGGCGGGAGGGGGAAGGGAAGGAAGAGAGACTGACCCCCCTCAACTTCCTATAGCTCCCTTAGGTTAAGCCATCCTTCCTCCCATGCTCACAGTTGATCCCATTCCTCCATGCTGTTGCCCAGTCTGACAGTCAGTTTGACCCCCGAGTATTTGTGCCAGCAAGATGCTGCCTTGAGCTACTCCCCTGGTTCCTGCTTCTTCCCCCTGGCTCCTCACCTCTCACCCGAGTTCCCACAGACTTTAGAGAGTGGGTGACCCCCACGGCCAAGGTCGTCCTCACCAGAATCCACCACCAGAGAGCGGCCGATGATGTCCCAGACCTAGGAAGGATCACAGCCTTTGGCCATCCCTGTTGCATGTGTGGATCCCCAGCTCCCCTGGTAGAGGCCATTAAAGTCCTGGGAAGGGACTTCTGCATGATGAGAACCAGTCCATCCAGGCACAGTTTGGAGAGGGGTTTGCGCCCTGGAGCCAGGGAAAGTGCAGTCAGCTCTAAAGGAGCTGATCCCTGCGCCCTAGTTTCCCTTCGACTGCTGCCATCTCAGCCTCTGCCCCTCCCCAGGAGCTCGGCTCCCTGTCCCACTGCACCATGTGGGTGGCCCATCGGCTGGAGGGAAGATGAGACCCCACTCCTGCAGTTCCCAGGAGAGCAGCTGACGGAAGGTTTTGACTAGAGGAGGGGAAAGCAAAGGCAGCCCCAAACTGCTACATGCTCTTTGTGCTCCCCACTTCCCACCTGGGATATTACACCTACTGCTTCAGGGTTCTGACTAGTTTAACTATTAGAGACCAGGGTGAGACCTAGTGTTTGGGGTCAGAATATCCCACATCTGCTACTGGAGGCAGACCTTCCTCTGAAGCACCTGGTGCTGGGCCCTGTGGAAGAAGAGATCCTGAGCGACATGGCCCTGGGGTCTGAGCTATTCAGGCAGTTCCTCTGTTCCTATGATATCCCTAAGAGCAAAAGTGTTTTGTAGGATTCATAAAAGGATCAGACATTCTCATCTCTATCAAGTGTCCGGAGTTATAATATTAGAGAACCTGGAGCTGAGGAAAGGAGTCATCCCTCTTGTTTCACAGCAGGAGTCTACCCCTAGCAAATGGGGTCAGGAGGAATGTTCCTTTGGGTGAGGTTATCCCAGCAAAGCCTAATGGAGGGTTAAGAGCCCCTTCCTCTGAAGCAGCTGTGGGACAGCTGGATAGGTTTGCTGTTCTGATCCACTGTAGTGATGCCTTTCTGAAAGGAACAGTAGGATCCCTCAATATGCCCTAATCTGACACAGCTCCCACTGGTGTCTCCCCAGCAATCCCTTGTGCAGATCAGGGGACCTCACCTTTAGCCGGGTGTCCTCCATCCGGAAGTCTGCTCTTCCATTGCTGCCAGCCAGCACGTTGCCAAGGTCTCCGAGATGCTGGAACAGAGCATCCACCCACACAGTCAGACCCTGGGAACTTTGACTCGAACCACAAACACAGCAAGAGCAGAGCGAATTTTCTTCACTCAAATTCTTTTCTGGCTGAAGAAAACCTAGCTTTTCAACCAAAACCAATATTTGGGTTGAAAATTTCTGGAATTCTGACAAAGAAATGGCCCCAAAACCTTATGTTTAACCAAAAACAGTTTTTGAAAACCAAAATTGTTTACGGTTTTATGGAAAGATTTTGGGGGGAAATTTTGTTTTCCAAAATTTCAAAGAAAACAACAATTGGTATTTTCCAAGGGGGTGAATAACAACTCTGTGGGCTGTGATCAGGCTGTGTTGGACAAGTATTTCAGTTTAGTTTGTTTCAAAGCCAAGCTGTATCTGGCCCCACATGGCAAAGTGAGAGCCAATTAATGTGGGCATGCAAATGGAAACCATTGCTCAGAGGTCCCCAAGAGCAGCAGTGGCAGGAATGTGGCAGCCTGAGGACTGGGAAAGGTGCCTTTTCTTGGAGAACTACAATGTTTGAAGTCTTTGCTGTCTCTGGACAGATGATTGACTGTTTCATTCTGGCTTACCCTCTATTGAGTCAACCCCCGTGCCTCCTCAGCACCACACTGGGGTCAGCACTGACTGCCAAAGAAGAGCATCCCCTATCAAGTCACCCACTCTCCCCCAGTCACCCGCAGAACGACTAAGAGGAGAGTGCCCTACTGAGTCCCCAGCTCCATGCAGCACAGCAAGCCACCCCTTCCATCACACTGGGGTGAGCATTGACTGAGAGGAGAGCACCCTCCCCAGAGGCACTCACTCCTCTCCCTGCAGCACTGCGCCCGCTAGCATCACCAAAGGGCACTGGGGCCAGCCCTGACTGTGAGGGCAGAATGCATAAACATGACCAGAACTCACCCTGTGTGCATCCTGCGGGCCCCCGTGATGCTTCCCGTCTGGGTTGAAATGGTCTCCACAACTGTTTGGGGAAAAACAAAACAAAAAAAGAAGCCAGGATGACCTAGTGCAGAGGCCTCACACCACAGCCTCCAGAGAGATCTGGCCGGCTACCTGCTCTACTCTACATTTCAACATAGGGTTGGAACGTGCACTGGCCAAAGGGGAAGGAGCTGAACAGGGAAACAGCCTCACCCCCCTAACAGCTCGTGTCCTCTTGCTGTGACTATCTACGTGCCTCCCCCAGACACAGGCCAATCTCACTGAACTAGTGTCATCAGATGCACTCTTCACAGTTGCTGAAAAATGGAGGGCCTAATGGAGAGGGCACTGGGCTGGGAGCCCTGGGTTCTATTACAGGCTCTGCCACTGACCTTAGGAAGGTCCCTCCCTTTGTCTCTCAATGCCTCAGTTTCCCCATCTGTTAAATGGGAATCTTGACACTAAATGCCATTAAGTTGGGAGGCACTCATTTCCTTTAAGTACCTTTGCAAACCCCAGCTTGCTACACTGGACAGCAACACCTCCCTGCAGGGGAGAGGTCTCTTACCTGTCACAGGAGTTTGTGACATCCCCAAATTCATGGACGTGCAGCCCATGCAACCCTGGCTCCAGACCATCAATGGTCCCTTCAATGAGACACTTCTCTGGGGAGACCTGCAGGAATCTCACCACCCCTTGGACAAGGCTGGGGCCTGACATCATGGCCACAGCTGCACCGAGGTTCTCTAAAAGGGAGGGCAAAGTCAGGTGGACACAGACAGTCACAGCCGCCCGCATTCCCCTCCCCAACCAAGATGTAGGGGAGCTCCTGCTGCCAGACAGCATAGCAGCACCAGTGTCCAAGAACTCCCTGAGGAGCAGCTGAGAGGATGAATCACAGCACAGGCTGTTTAGGGAAGGGGAAGATATTGGCCACTCAGCACAATGGAACTGAGGACCGTTCTGTGTATTATAGTATGGCCCAGGGGCTAGGGCACTAGCCTAGGATTTGGGAGATCCAGGTTCAAGTCCTTGCTCTGACCCAATTTCCCTGGAGCAGCTGTGTTAGTCTGTATCCGCAAAAAGAACAAGAGTACTTGTGGCACCTCAGAGACTAACAAACGTATTTGAGCAAAAAAAAGCTTATGCTCAAATAAATTTGTTAGTCTCTAAGGTGCCACAAGTACTCCTATTCTTTTTCCAGTTTCCCTGTTTGACAGTGGGCAAGTCCCTTATCGGGAAACTGAGACACAGAGAGGCTAATAGCACTGCCCTGCCTCCCAGGGAAGCTGTGAGGGTAGATACAGTAAAGACTGTGAAGCACCCAAATACTACAGTGATGAGGATAATAAAACTACCTTACACAGATAGATCATATAGAGGCACCCATCTTACATCGGGGCCCCCGACATACCAGACACCACATGCCCTCCCCCCCGTTTCAGGTGCACCATAGACACACAGCGTGAAGCAGCCCCTGCTTTGAAGAGCTCACAGCATAAAGAGCCAAACACAATGCCGAGAGGTGAAGGGATTTGCCCAGCAGCAGAACCAGGAATAGAACCCACAGCAATAGACTGGAACGCCTAGCCGCTACCCCATGCTACCTCCTGTTCCTTTCAGGCTATGACCCAGGGACTCCATACTCACGTGGCTCACTGCTCCCCATGCCCTTCAGCACAGCCCGGCGGCCTGTGCTCTCCAGCAGGCCCTTCACCTTCCCAGCACTCATGCTGGTCTCCACCAGCACAGTCTGAGAGTCCAGCTGAATGTCCAGCACCTGGAGCCCTGCAGGAAAAGCCCTGGTATGGTGAAAACAGCAGGAGCCCACACCAGCTGTCATGGGGAATGGGAGGGCTGGAGCATCTCTCACCTGTTGCTCCTTGCAGAGAGGCCTGCACGGCATCCACGCATTCCTGGCAGTTCATCTGCACTGCGAACTCCAGCTGGTTGATTTTAGGAGGCATGTGAGACAGGGTTTGTCATGAAAAACAACCCAACTCTCCACCTTGGCAGTCTTCATCCATCAGCCCTACCCCTCCCCTGGCCCAGAACTAGAACACCTCTCTTGAACATGGTTCAAAAAAGAACTAGGTAAGTTCATGGAGGAGAGGTCCATCAATGGCTCTTAGCCAGGATGGGCAGGGATGTATCCCTAGCCTGTTTGCCAGAAGCTGGGAATTGGTGGCAGGGGGTAGATCACTTGATGATTACCTGTTCTGTTCATTCCCTTTGGTCTGACCCAGCATGTTCACACCAGCAGAGGGGGGTTTCCTGTTCTCTCCAGAATTGCCCCCCACCTAGAGGAAGCTAAACCAACCACCTCATACCCTACAACTGTACAATCCTCCCTACATTGGGCAGTTTGGATTTCTCATCTCCAGCAACTTCCCCTCTCTCAATCCCTCCCATGCAGGGATTCTGCATTGTGCCACACATGCTCATACATAAGGTGACTTTGCCCCCCATGTTCATTGGTCCACCCACAAGATATTTGTGTTCTGCCCCATTCATCCCTCTCCTTGCTACTCCTTACACAGGGGACTTTGCCCCAGAGGCATATGTCCTCCAGAAAGAAACTGTCTCTCATTCCCTCCACCACGGCACACAATTTCTTTCTCCTCCAGGCATATACACAGGGGACTTAACCCTCAAGAAGTGTACCTCCCCCAGCATGCCCCCGTGACTCTCACTATCCTCCCAAAACACACACAGGGCACTATGTTCCCCCACCTACAAGCGTTGACAACTCTGAGGACAGATCTTATCACGAGTCTCATGTGGTTTGGCGTGCCCCGGGCTCCTGGCAGTGGGACGATCCCAGATCAGCTTTGATTAAGCTCGGAAGAGCTTTGCAGTGCAAACAAACACAGGTACCAAAGGGGAAGGGACTTGCCCAATAGCAGCAGCAGAGCCAGGAACAGAACCCGCCCCGGCACGTTGCCTCCTAGAGGCACAACCCAGCTCCCCCACTGCGGAGTCTCCTTACCCGGCAGCTGGGGCCCCCTGCTTCCCCAGGCCCTGGCGTCGCCTCCATCGCTCGCTCCCGTCTGCCCCTCAGCTGTGCCCGCCAGGACCGGACTCGTTTCCAGGAAACGCGCCGGTAATGACACTTCCGGCCGCCAGCCTGATTGGCGGAAGCTGAGACGCCGCCTAGCGGCCGCCGAGCCCCACCAAAGGTCTCGCAGGGAAGGCACGAGCTATTTCCGGTGCGCTGTTACCATGGAAACTCTGCTTGCTGAGACGCCCTCCAGGCTCTGAGCCGGGAAGTGGCGAGCAAGGGCCGGCCTGAGCCCCGGGATTAGGACGCAGCGGCTGGGGGTTGTGGTGAGCCCAGGGGCCTGCCTCCCCCCGTGGTCTGGGAGCCGGGAACGAGAGGCTGCTGGGAGGCCGAGGGTCAGAATCCTCTCTGGGCCCCTGAGCGGGCGTGTCCGTCATGCCCCGCGCTGGCTCCTCCTGGGATCGCTATGCCTTGGAGGAGACGGAGGAAGTGACCCAGACGCTGCACCAGGTCTACCAGGGCATCCTGGCCCCGCTCTCCCTCTTCCAGCCTCCTTCAAAGGGGCCCCCAGGAGCCTCACAGCCCACCCTAGCCCCGGCTCCACCCAACCCCCAGCTCCATGGTACACAGGAGACTAGTTCTGCCGAGCCTCCCAGCACCCCGGAGACCAGCCACACGCTACCATCTGGCTCCCCAAAGACTCCAGTGCCTGCATTCTGTATCCCCGTTTCCCTAGCTGCTCTGACCCAGTTGATTGAAGGGCGCCTTTCTTTGGGCAGGGAGTCGTTGCCCATCTCCAGCCAGGCAGGACAGGTCTTCAAGGAGATCATCCTGGCAGAAGTAAAATTCGCCTGGGAGGATGCCAGTCAGTCACTCTCCAACCCAGCCCTCCTCAGCTTGCAGAACAAGGACCTATACCAGCATCTGGTGGCATACATCACACTTGTCTCTGAACACCTCTTCTTCCACTATCTCTGCCTGATGGAGCTCCACCGGGGCATGGCTGTCTTCACTGACTATGCCAACCTCACCCGCTTCGCAGCCCAGCTCTCTCTGGACTGCTCCAGTCTCCTCAATATGGCTGCCATCCAGCGCCATCTCATTGCAGAGCTGAAGACCCCGCAGAACCACTTTTCTCTTGACAGCAAGCCAGTTCGGCCAGAGCGAAAACGGCCACCACAGAGAGGCCGGCACTCAGCCAGAAGCACTGTGGGCTGCCGCCTTGGCCTCACCATGACTCACTTCATCAAACTGACCAGGCCCCACCTGCAGACATGCAGGCAGAAAATCGCAAAGGATATCAAAGAACTCGAGGAGATACCCCCACTGGATTTAAGCAGAGTCTGTCACTTAATCCCTAATGTAGAGACTTTTGACAGTTGCTTTACCAACCTGCCATGTGTAGCAGTGAGAACCCCCTGCTCCTGTACCCCTGCTTCAGAAGATCAGGAAGTCACAAAGAGGGTCAGGCATGAGGCTGGCTCCATTTCCAAAAAAAGTCATTCATTGCCCAATATGAGAGCCGGGCAACTCCTCTCAGATGAACTTGGGATCCATCTTCCCCCTCGCCCCCTCACACCGATCGTGCCCAGTCACTATGCTGAGTCAGCAACAGATGGCAATCTTGAAGAGTCCATGGCCATAGCCGAGGACCTTCGCAAGCTAGTTCAAGGCTCCCTCCTCAGAAGTGGTAACAGAAGAGATGAGAGTGAGGACGCAGAACTGCCTCCCATCATTGGAGCACTGACACGACGCAGAGCCAATGTAACCAAACTCCAGCAGCTTCAGGAGACACTTAGATGCCTCCAAGAAGAGGAGATGGCTGAGCAACAGCTGAGAGATATGGTAGTTTTTGCACCACCCACTCACCCTCAAGGTGCCACGGTGAATCTTCAAATACACCATGGCATGGTAGCAAAGGCAGCTGACCTACAAGTGTCCGACAGAGCACTTGTTGACTCTGTGGCAATTCAGAGATACGGCCCCTTGTACAATGATCTTCTGGGAGAGATTGATACTGCTACAGTGAGTTACCTGGATGCAAAGCTTTCAGCTGGGGAAGAGATCCGGGAAATTTACAAGGAACTGATAAAAATCATCCCCACAGAGTATCTGAGATTTGACCAAGGACCCTTGATAGAGCCTGCAGCTGTGAACGTGGACTTATCCAACAGCTTGGCTTCCTCCACGCTGACCAAAAGGAAAAATGAGCAGGTAATCAATACAGAATTGAATAAGCTGCTGCCCACTGGACCGTTCAGCACCCAGAAAGTCACTACACCAGTGCAATCAAGTTTGCCCCTCGTGATTGCCCGTAAACAAAAAACCACTTGGTATCAGTGGTGGAAATCTGCCCTCAACGCCGATGACTACCTGAAATATGTATCCACCAAGGAGTCTGATTACCTGCATGTGATATTTCATTTGTACAATGAGGGGGAGGAGCCACTTTTCATAGATGAAGCCCAAAAGAAACAGTTGGAGGAAGCACTGAGAGAGGTAAAACGGAAAGTGGCAGAGGTCCGCTCAAAGAGAGAGAAGTACATGCCTGGGATGTGGAACACAAACACCATCATGCTTGGCGGGCTTGGGACTTTTGAGGACCAGGACCGTAAGCCTGAAGACCTCAGAGTGCTGCAGAAGCGACTGGAGAGACTCTGGGAAGTTCTTCATTTCCCTGATAGGGAGAGGCTTGATATGGCGATTAAGTACAGCTCCAACCAGTCTTATGCTCAGCTGCCAGCTATGCTCAAAGCCTGGGAGAAAGCAGCAAAGAGTATCCAGGAACGAGAGCTTTTGCTGGTAGAGCTGGAGAAGTTTGAGCAAACCGCCTCTGACCCAAACCGCTTCTTCGAAAGGAGCCTTGAGTCTTTCGCCACACGCACCTGGGAGTCGAGGACCAGAGGCCGCCTGTATGCAGCGATCGCCCAGTGCGACACTGACCTCTACATCATTCTGCCCCAGATCAAGGAGAGGTTCCATGACACTGTGACTTTCAAGGGCCGCCCATATTTGGAGAAGATGCGGTGGGACAAAGTGGAGATGCTCTACTGGCTGCAGCAGGAACGCCGTGCTGGTGCCCTGGCAAAAGAAACGGGGAGAGAGGCGAGGCTTTGGAAGCTACCTCCACTGGCTCAGGTAGGCAGCAGTGCGGGATTCTCTCCCCCATCCCAGTAATATGCAAAGGAAAACGGATCATCTGGGTAAATGACTCAATGGGGACAGTTCTCTGATCTTGCCAGGCCAAAGTAAGGATCTTCTGTAGTCACCCTATGATGGAGAATCATCAGAAGAGGGTGAGTGAAGTGCCAAACAAGAGCAATAAATACATTACAAAGCCAGAGCAGTTAATTATTCCCTGGATCCATTACTGGCTGGTGCATCTGTTCTGGACTCAGCATACACAACTTAGAGCAGCATCACTCACACGCCTATCCTTGTAGAAAATCCAGGGAGCAAAGCTGGGCTCAGGGAGGCAGATGCCAGTGTTTGGAGCACTCAAGGTGGAATGCAGCAGCCAGAAGAGGGAAGGGGAGACAGAGCACTCCATCAGAAGGTGGGGAGGAAATTGTGAGGAAGTATGGAACACCATGTGGGAAGGGATGGGAACTGGGATGGGGGGAGAGAGAGGATTCACTGGAGTAGGGGACATATAGGGAGAAGGAATGATGCAGGGAGGGAAAACAAACCAAGTTATTTTGGGCTATAAACCCCTAGAGATGGGGTGCAAAACACTCAGCATTGGCCTAACTCTGCTCCCACTTACATCAGTGATATTTTTGCGCTGACTGTAATGGGAGCAGTCAGGTTTTGCAAAGCCCAGCCGCCCTAGGGAGTTTGTTTTCTGAAGGGCCAACGTTCTCTAAAAGGCCCAGAGTGGGCAGGAGGAGCTTGGTCAGTGTAATGGTAGGTACAAGCAATGAGCTTGTTGGGATTCTTCAGCCTACATTATACAGTTCAAGGAGTTGGACTGTATGATCCAACTGGGCATTTCTGGACTTCATATCAGTTAACCCAGTGGGCCTGGGACCACCTAACACAGCTATAAAAATGGCACCCACATCTCCTCAGTGCTGGGGGGATTGGAACTGGAAATTCATTGGAGAAAGAAGAGTTGGGAGTCAGCCCAGATACCACAGCTCAGCATGGCTTTGAAGGAAGATGGAGCTACAGCAAACTAAGGCCACTTCACTTCTGAATGAGAGCATCTACAGGGCTTAATGCCCTTAACTTCACTCCTTCAGTTAATTCAGCTTTCCAGAGTGTCCATGTGTAGACCAACCCTCACAGGCAGCCAAAACCAGACTGCCTGAATACTTGGAAGTCACTCCAACCCAATGTTCTCCGCCACAAGATCATGCTCTGCAGTGAGGGTTCTTCCCAGACCCAATGTCACCTGCCCAGTGTCAGCTGAAGAGGACTTTTCCAACATAGGGAGCAAGAATATTTTATTATGGAAAATATCTATTAACCCCTCCATACCCTATTCAAAATGGCACAACCACATCAGCTGCAAACTATTAAAGTCACCTGTAGGGTCAGATTGAGCCTGGAAAATTACAGCCCCAGATATGAATTTGTCCAACTTAAAACAGAGACCATCCTTCAGCTTTAATTACAGCAATCCCACAGTACTATTCATCTGTAGAGCTCAGTGCACTTTGCAAAGATCAGTATTATCCCCATTTTACAGAAGGGAAAATAGGCAGAGAGAGAGGAAGTGATTTGCCCAATGTCACCCAGCAGGCCAGTGACCTCCCAAGTCCCAGTCCACTGCTTTATCCACTAGGCCATGCAGCCTTGCCCCAGTGAGGCATCCACTGTAGCAGAGAATCAGCACACAGCATCCACAGCTGACTTTGCTGGCGAAGATTCCCACTGGCTAAATGAGCTGGATGGGACCCTGGCTTCACAAGGACGGGGATAGGCTGCAGCGTTCCCTTGTGTCAGAGGCACCTTGGTGCCTTCTCATATGGCATTAGTAAGGGAGACGCCACTTCTATATCCCACAGTGCAGGGAAAGCTACCTGTGGGTAGCACTTAATAACTGCCTATTTCTCATAGCTGGCGATAAGAGCGCCTCACATTTACACATCAGGCTGCAAGCTCCACATTTACACATCAGGCTATCCAACTGCTTGGGCGCTCAGCTCAGCTGCAGGTACACACATGGGCCACCGTACAGCCCAGCCAATGGCCATTCCTACACCCTAGCCTGTGGATCTCAATGCCACAAGACATCATCAAGGTGAACAGCTTAGCAGCATTCATAAAGGGGTTGGACAGTATATGGCTAAAGAGAATCTCCACGAGTTCCAGAAGGGATCCAAACCATCCTGCATCGGGGCATTTAACAACCACTAACTCTTGAGGTCAGGAGAGAATGGCTCAGGAGGACAGGTTATCCCTTCATGGCAGGATTTCTTGGCCCTTCCTTTTGTAGTGATCACTATTAGAGACATATATTGTAGCTGTTCTTATGTTCCTACGGCGTAACCACAGGCGACAGGCAGGGGAAATAATATATACACAAGGGTAGGATGAGGCCCGCATAGAGTGGTGTAGATGGACACGTGGGATGTGCCTAGGTGCAAACTCCACCAAGAAAGTAAGTCTGCATTTATACAGCTCGATGGATGAGCATCCAGCTTCTGAGGACAGTCAATTTTACAAATGGGCAAGCAAAGATTAAGCAAGCGGGTGCAGTGACTCACTGTCAGAGCCAGGCATAAAATGCAGGTTCTGGCCTCCCCACTCTACTCCAGACACTCCTTTAACAAGAACAACCCAAACATTTCTAAGAAAATACCTTTATTTTCCCCTCACAAAAAATAGTTTCCTCCTCTATGCTGCAGGGAGCATCACCTGCAACAAGGACTGGATCGCACAGAGGAGGTGCTTTGCATGCTAAGATGGAGAACCAAGTAGCCAGTTTTGAGAGTGAGAGAACTCTGGTTGTCATCATCTGACTTGGGCCTGGTAGTACATCTGGTTTCTGCTCCCCTGGGGGTGAAATAAAGCAGAAGGGCTTAAATGGGGCACAGAAACATTAAATGCGTCCTCAACTGTCTTCTGCACTCTCCAGTGTCACTCGAATCGCTCCCAGCTCTAGCTGTCTCCCATTGCCTGCATCCACTTCATCCACAAGCTGCCCTAGAGTGGCATGGGCAGTGTCAGGGCGATCCTATAGGTATACTGATCTCTTGGCAATCAGTATTTTAGCACTGGAAAGTGGGTGAGGAACAGTTAACCTTTAGAATGCTGAAGACCAGTGTTATCATGCCTGTGCCTCTCCCTAGCAGGGGACCACCATGCCTCCACTCAGAGACCATTCTCCCAATCATGTGCCCCAGGCCTTGAGCCCAGTCCCCAACCCACTGCTCACCACTTCCCCCTTGGATTCCCAGCTTCATGAACCAGAGCGCAGGGGGCATCCAACAGAGCAGAGGGGGTGAAATTAGGTTTCTGCCATCTAAGCCAGAACCCCTCTCTCCTGCCAGCATATAGCACCCTACCTTGGAAATGAAGGCATTAGCCAAGGCCCTCAAGAATTACAAGGCAGGAGCAGAATGGTCTGTGACAATGAGAAGGGGCTCCTTAATTTAGGCTGCAGGCATGCACTTTTCCAAGCTGGGGCTTGGACATTTTCAGAACATAGACTAACCTGTCCTCACTACATCCCTGGCTGGAAGAGTCACTACTACTAGAACCCCTACCTACACAGGCAACTTGGCCAAAGCTGCTGGGCAGCTCAGGGATAGAGCAGGGATGATGATTTGGGGAGTTCCAATCCCCAGCTTTGCTCAGGATAGGAGGAAACACTGCTTCTCAATAAAGGAAACTTCCATTCATTACTCTCCTTTCATTAGAGGGGTTCAGTTCACTCCGAACTGCCAGTTTCAGCCAAGCAGCAATCCATGGGCAGCCGAATTTTTTATCTCACCCGCAGCTAGACTAAAAGAGCAACAACATGTGAGAGTCAAGTACAGTTTGGCTTCAGGAACAGCCAGTCCACACCCAGTAACAGCTCTGGGGCATAAAGGTGGTAGCTTCTTCCAGGCCCATAGAACCATCCTCTCAGTCACTACTCTATGGAAAAAATTAGACCGAGATTTTTAAACAAAATGCAATCCCCACAGTGAAATCCTGTGTCAGAAGCTGGAATTGCTGGCAGCTCTTCCTAGGACAGGTCAGTGTTGGGAATGCCACCAGCTCCAGGATAAGATACGTTCCAGCTGCTTATAGAGAGGGTGAAGTGCGTGGTTTGTACCAGATGCTGAGGGGAAAAACTTGGCATGCTGGTCCTTTTCCCCACCAAGAGCTGTTTCAGAAGCAGCTGGTGCAGCACAAGGATGCTGCTCTAAGTCAGGCTCTCTCTGAATCGTTGCACAATTCGCGCTCTCACTGCCCGGGCCTCACTGGAGATCTGAACAAAGGGGGTTTGCACTGGGAGCTCCGGGTCAGCATCCGACCCCTCCACCAGCTCCTCCCCCTCTGCCAGGTCTAAGGGCATCCTGCGGCTCAGGGCGATGTTGTGCAGTATACAGCAGGCCAGGAAGATCTGGCAGACTTTCTGGGGGGTGTACTGCAAGGAACCACTTGATTTATCCAGGCAGCGGAAACGCATTTTCAATAGGGTGCATGTCTGCTTGAGCACCGAGAGGGCCTCCTGGTGCATGGCATTGTACTTCTCCTCTCCCGGACTACATGGGAATAAAATTGGAGTCATGAGCCATGTTTTCAGCGGGTAACTTCGGTCTCCTGCAAGCACAGAAGGAGGATAGAAGAAATATGTTAGCACAGACTCCCCCAGGCCTTTGGAAGCTGAGCTCCCACCTTTCTTTGGGGGAAATGAAACCAAAGCACTCCCACCCCAGCCCCATAATGCGCTGTTAAAGACCACACATAGTTTAGATCTTCATCTTCGCACATTTTTAAACACGTTAAGTAGTCCCATTACAGTCAATGGACTGTTCATCGCTGAAAGGTACCTGTGTGCTAAGTACTTACCAGAGTCTAAGTCTGCTCCGTATTCACACTGGGAGCAGTTACAGCTCTTATCTTTCTAGATGAGCCTAGTGTACAAGCACCTCACCATTTTACCCACATACCCCCGTGAGGCAGAGAAGTCCCTTTTACAGGCACAGGGTGGGATTAAGTGACTTGCTGAAGGTCACAGAGCAAGTAAGTGGCAGAGTGGTGAATTGAACTCAGCACCCTATTCCCTGGACCATCCTTCTTACCTATTGTCAGTCATGCTGCGATACAGATTATCCCGCCAGGTGCCGGGCGTGAGGGATCACTATGTTCGGTGAACAGGGTCAGGGGGCTGCTCCACCATGGAGA